AAAGAGGAAATCAAAAGGTTAAAGACTCAGTTAGAACAGTTAACTTCTCAACAAGTTGCTCAAATTGAAGTTAAAGAGACTAAAAGATGACCTTGATTGAAAATAAAAAAGTAATTTAAAAAGAATTGAGGAAATGCTTTCCTCTTGTAAATTGAAATTTATTCCAATTATCAAAGAAAATGATAGTTATTTTCTTTTAAAGATTTTGCTTTTTATTAGGTAATAATGCATCATCATGATGCTTTCTTTTTTTAACATTTATTATTTTTCTTTCTTCTTGATAAATTTCATAAGTAATCTTTTCTTTCCTTAGATAAGCTTCAAGTGCCTGAGCATCATTTATTTTGAAAATATAGGGTGCAATTTTTTCACCTTGTTCTTTTTTTAGAATACTTCTAATGGTGCTATAATTCTTGGGTTCCATGGTAGACCTAATGTAAATTAGCTTCATATTAACTATTTTTATATAGAAATAGTTCTATATATCACTAAGATAGTAAATGGGATATTAATTATGATCACATTACAAATGACTAAATTTTGATCCCTAAAATTCTTGGTTATACCAATGTTCACTTTGTCTGGTTTTGTTGCAGTATGCCCCATATAGTCTAAAAGCCTATTAGTAAATATTGAAAGTGTCAATATTTATCAGTTATTCTTTTAAAATTAATCTTTTTTTTTGGTTAATTTAATAAACTAATAACTCTTTTATATTGTAATTAAGTTATTTGGTTAAATATTTCTAAAGCTCTTTGTACTAAAATAATACCATAACCATTAGCATGGCTACATCCTAATTGATAATGGTGATCTCCAAATTGGTATTGATTGATAATGATATTTCTGGATAAATTCGTCTGGTGGGTATTCTAATTTTTCCATATCAACTATTTGCAATGCCTTCCTCTTGAATGGTCTACAAGGATTACATCCTTTTTCAAGATAATATAAGGCAGGTTGAGGTGGATCCTTTCCAACAACAACTTTCCTGATTCGATAAACTTGCAGGCTCCAGTATGGATCGGTTGCGTGATGCCTATGTCTACCTTCTAGCACACCTGGTTTTAATAAGTATTGAACAATAGTTCCTTTTGGTATTTGCTCTTCATCTTCTCCAATTGGCTTCTTGGGCTTTATGGAAGGTTTAGATATCACTTTCTCCAATGTCATAGCATGGGATGGGGTCATTCCAATTAATCGTGTAGGCTGTTGTTCATATTATCAAAAATTACTTTGAGAATTTTATTCCATAATGTTGAACGCTCTCCTGCTGGTAATTTAGATTCTATAGCATATATATTGAATTTTGTATATTATTTGTGCTAATCTTCGTTTTACTGCTTTAACCAATGCTAGACTTTCAAACTATAAAGATCAACAACCCAAATAGAAACATATATCATTGCATTCCCTGCGAAAAATGTCCAGTATCAATAATTTCGACCATGTGAAAGGGTTGTTGTGATCATTGTAAATTTATTTGATAGCATTCCAAACTTCTAAACTATTCTTTGATGTCAACAAACGTCCAGCTTTATCATAGCTATGGGTCAACAGATCGCACTGATGTACTTTGTTAGGAATAGATATCTTCTGGAATCCTGCTTCTGCTTTGCATTTTGATGGAAAGAGAAATACTTGATGGATGAACTGATGATTAAGCCAGGATTCAATGTCAGTGAGGCGAAATCTATAATCTTCTTTTCTGCGTGCATCTAACAATTTTTTGGCATTCGAATAAAATCCAGGTACATGATAACAAATTAGATGAAGAATGATTTTTAACTCCTCATCAGCGCTGATTATAATGGTAGGGATACTCATTGCCATTATCGTGAGATGCTATAATTTATATTATAAGTCAAGACTGTATTTTTGAGATGAATTTCCAAATCGATACTGCCTACTTACAACTGCTAGATACTAATCGAGAGTTATGTAAAGAAATAGACATAAACCACGAAAATGAGAAAAAATCTATAGTCTCGTCAAGGATCTTGTCACTCACCCCATATCTATTACGAATGTTATACCATTTCAGTACGTTACTCACTGCATCTATTTATGAATGTTTTATACATAATCAAAAACGTACCATTTCAGTATGCCATACATTCAGTACTTGCTCTGTATGTTTTATGCGGAAACAAAACTATTACATTTCAGTATGTTAACATTCTATACATATTTCGTATGGTTTATGCGGAAACAAAAACGTACCCTTTCAGTGTTAGCATGATTTTGTACTGCATAATAAGTATTTTAATTCGGATTTTGCTGACTTGGGACAACTGTCTCTAAAATTTTCACTTGTATTCTTTCTTAATTGTTTCATTTTTTCAACCCTCTTTTGTTGCATGTATAAAAAACAATCAGTTAAATGCAGTGCAAGGAGAAAAAAAGAAGAATGAAAACCGGTATAAAGAAAATTGCACATTGAAAAGAACAATAAGAGGTTAGTTAAGTTGATATAAAAGAACTAAAAACTTCATAACTACTTATTTCTGATAAAGTCTAATTGTGCCTTGGAACATTCAAACAACTTCGTCTGTCACATCAGTTCTTCAATACGAGCTTATTTACGTTATGTTCTTGGTCACCTCTCAACATTGCTTGTATTTCATGGTACTAGGCACTGGCGTCACTCTCATTTTAAAACATATATTAATAAGCAGAAGGTTTACCACGAAATCGTCCAAGAACTATCGTAGCATACGGAGATAGGTTTTTCTCATCCAGTAGCCATAGAAATCCATCTGATCCTAAAAAACAGCTCTTTGTACAATTATAAAAAGCATGGCAGGTTACGAGTTTGGTACTTATATCATTTGTTCTTGCTGAAATGGACAAGTGGAAAACGTCTACCAGGTTTGGCAACTTGTGAATATGTGCACGGCTTTATATCAATGTTTCACGTAACATCTGATCATTATCCATTATTTATGAAAGGATAATAATGGAAGAGCCAGGATCTTTGACCATTACCTCGTTGCGTTAGTCAGCTCATTATATGAATTTGTAGTAGTAGGAGCTAGAACTTTTGTTTGCAGTTCATATAATGTTGCTGCTGCCATAAATCTGAGGTCAATACTTTAAAAATTACAATAAAAATAAAATAATAACCCTAATACTAATATTTAATAATCACAAAAGAAAAAATAATTTAAACAAATTTTTTTTTTAAAATAAAATTATTGATATTTTTCTGTCATTATTATATTGTTATTTTTAACTTTTTATTTATTTCAAATTCTCATAAGGAAAATTTTTTGGAATTATTTCTGGCATGTCATTAATATATCCAACAAGCCATTCAAGTGCATCAACAAGACCTTTTTTTTTAATTAACAAGAGAATTTAGTAATAAAGAAAAGTGTAAATATTAATCAAAAATAATAAACTTACGAGGTCCTGGACGATTAAACATCTTTAATATTAATATAATATATAAATAAATATATATATATATATAAAATAAAAATAAAAATATATAAATATACACATGTATACATTTTATATTTTACCTGATTTCCATCAACCAATGCAATTTTTTTAGCATTATTGGCTAATTCGGGCCACCAATTTGAAGGCAACAAAGTTTTTTCATATTCTTTTTTTGTTTCGTCAAGATTTAAACCACATGGACAAATTATTAAAATTTCAGGTTTAGAATCAAGAATTTCTTGAGGAGGCACTCGGAATCTAACTTTTATCAATAATTAATTAAACAATTTATACATTTAAATAATAATATTTCTCATCTAATTTGAATTCTTAAAATAAAATAAACCATACGAAGGTGATGCTCCAGCTTGAGCAATTTCTTCATCTTTACAATCATTTATCACTTGGATTCCCTAAAAGATAATATATATTTATTATTCGTATATTATATTTATAAAAAATATTACTATTTTTAATTAATCGATTTATCATACACACATTACTCCAACGAATCAATTGAGGAGTCCAATGTCCACCAAGATAAATAGGATCACACCATTCAAAAAATGCCACTTTTACTGGTTCCAGTCCATTATTTTTTGACCTTGATGCTGCTTCTCTTGCAATTTTAATGCGTGATTGAAGTGATGAAATCACTTTATCTGATTTTTCTATTGCTCCAAGTGATAATCCCACCTTTCTAACTGATTCTACTACATCCTTGTATATTAAATATGTAAAGCTTTTTAAAAAATATAATTAAAAAATATAATTAAAAAAAAATATAATTAATTAATGATTACTTCAATTGACATTGGGCTCAATGTAACCACATCTGGAACTTTTTTTTAAAAAAAATTATTATTAATTTTAATTAGTTAATTAATATTAAATATATGTGATATATATGTAATACCAGGATCCATTTCTTTCGCTATCTTTTGGACAGTATTTAAATCGATTGAACAAACATTACAAAGGTCCTAAATAACATTTCTTTAATTAGCATCATAGAAACGTCAACAAATTAGAAAACCCCCAATTTACTTACTTGTGTGACTATTACATCTGGTTTCAGACTTTTCAATAAACCTTTATCTAATTCGTAAAGACTTTTCCCTTCTGCAAGAAGTTGTGATACTTGTACATCAACATCGGCAGATGTTGTAAATTTAGTTCTGGAAGATTTTTTTTATCCCATGAATTAATCAAATGTTATTATTATTAACAACATCAAAAACACCTGCACACATCCATATATATTTAAATCAATTATTTTGTTCATTACTTTTTTGGCACAATTAAAATTTATAATAATTACTTTGGAGCTGTTAAAATTGGTAAAGAAGTCACGTAACTAGGATAATCATCTTCATGACTTCTGCCAACAAGTTGAATCGAATTGTTGGTATCATCTGTTATTAAAGCAATTATTTCTGCTGCTGAAGGTAAAAGTGATATCACTTTTTTTGTTTGTAATGCCATTGAAGGAAAGAATTAATTGAAAATTTAAATTAGGTAATAATCAACACAAATTGAACCCAAAGTCGAAATATTTCATTTACATAGTAATGAATATGATATAGCAGTAAATTGAAAAAAAAACAATATGTTGGGAATTAAGGACACCGGTAAATCAAATATATTAATATTAATATGAAAACCCATTAAATCCGTTAAATCCGTTAAATCAAGATAAAAAATAATCAAGCCTAATCCGCTAAATCGAGTTTCAATGTGTTATTTATTTTTCAACATTAAATTATTATTTTCAATAATTATAGGTTTTTTCCAAACTTTTCTAAATGACATGTTATTATCCATGTAAGAATCATCTTATTTAATATAAGGTATAAGTGCATCAGATGAATCTTTTTGGGCAGTGGTGACCTAATTACAAAAAATGCATGCATGTGTCTGAAGAATTAGCTTAAAGATAATAATATTACTATACTGTAATTAACTTTTAATTTTTGATATTTTATAAACCCAGTTATTTTCAATTAAAATTAATGCGAGCAAATAAACTGTATATATATTAATATTTGAAAAAAAATTTATATCTGACCCGGTATCCGACCCGACCCGACCTGTTCGGGAATCACTACACACACATAAAATTCCCTGATTGATAAATGATTTGCGAATTAAAGCTTTTTTATACCACTCATGTTAAAGCACCATTCTAATTTGTATCCTTAGATTAATATGAGTCTGCGTGGATTTCTTATCTCCATTAATAATACAAATTCCATTTTTTCATTGAAAAAAAAAATAATTAGTCAACATTTAAAATCAAAAATCCCACCCAACCCTATTCTGCAAAATGGGGTTTTAGCAATAAAAATTGTTTTGTTGATCATTGTACAAATGTGACAACGACATAATGAAATTTGATTATTACTACGCAAATTAAAAATAATAAAATGCGCCTATAATTTGAAGCAACACAAATATAATATCTCTAAATGACAAGCTTGAAAAAAAAATTACATCCCCATTTGAATTGATATATTTACGGAATGTTGAAAGCTTGCATTGAACTTTGCGACTTGTAATTACCCAATGTATCATCTAACATCTAACTCTATTAATCCTTTTTGCCTAATGAAAAATATTACATCATTAATAAGATGCTTATTTATTCAATCACATTTGCTATTGTAATGCATTAAACATAATAAACATAATAAGAATATTCATACCTTCCTTTGGTCTAGTAGATCCAAGCATGTTCTTTATATAAATAATTTAAGGGTTTATAAACGCACCTTTAAACAAAAAAGTTCGATAATGAAATAATATTTACTTTTTTTTTTTGAATGATAGAATATAAAATAGGTAGAAAGAATATATTATTGCACAAATCGATATAGGCGAGTCATATGACGGGTCAGTACATTTAATATGTGGTGTAACTAAATGCCGATCATTTCTCGAAATCGAATGCCTCTATGTCAAAAACGTCCACATGCCAAATAAATAAATGAGGATATAGTAATAGTAAAATGAATTGCGCCGTGCCCATAAGTTTCTTCAATAAAAAATAACATATCAATATATTCATTTCATTTGATTTTAATTCTTGTAAAATGACTCAAAGCAAGTTACAAAGAATTGTTCTTTTCTTTTTCGATACAATTTTTTTTAAAAATATATATATATATATAACCACTTGATTTTGTTTTTAAAAAAATAAATTTTTTAAAATAAAAATAAAAATCAACTTTTTTTTTTTTGAAAACAAAAATTTGTCATTCTAAATAAACAAATAAATGGCTTCAATTTCAGCTTTTTCAAAAAAGAATTCTTTTTCAAGAGAGGCCTTTTCTGGCACCTTAGCAGGATGCGCCGAAGTTGTCGTTGGTAAATAATTAATTGCTATCGTAATTATTAAAACGAATCGATTCTATATTAATAGTTGTTAATCGTATTCCTTTCCTCCGGATCCTTTTCATTCTTCCCAGGGTTTCCGTTCGATACTATCAAGGTCCGACTTCAAACTGATTCTCAAAAATATAAGACAGCAATAAACTGTCTAAAAATGACAATTAGACAGGAGACTGTAAGTTATTATAATTATTTCTTTGCATTTTCATTTTCTTGTTTTCATATTTTATTTTTCGATGATGTAGGCTCTAGGTTTATACAAAGGCTCTTCTTCTCCTATGTTGGGAAGCGGAATATCCAATGCCGTTTTATTCAGTACAAATCAAAAATTCCGTAACATGCTCAAAGATGATGATCCAACACGTCCTTTGACATTAAGTAAGTGTTATCATCATAATCATAATCATCAAATTCTTTCCATCATCATAATTACTATCGTCACCGCAACAGTCCAACTAATCAATCATAATCATTTTTTAAACATTAGTCGAGATTGCAAAAGCTGGCGCATTAACAGGCATAGCCATGTCGTTTGTAAATTGTCCGATGGAGCTTCTTAAGGTGAAGCTACAAACACAATATGATCAATCGGCCAAAAGCAAAAAAGTATATATATATTTTTTACGTTTTCGAATCTATTGGCACGTGATAAAATAAATGAAATCTAACCCACATTTTCCTATTATATAGTATACGAGCGTATTTCACGCAGCCAGCTCAATTTATAAACAAAATAATATTAAAGGATTGTATCGTGGTCTCACAGCAACTATAATTAGGGATATACCTGGTTTTGCCACCTATTTTTGTAAATATTTATATTAAATCAACTTTTTATAATATTTTCTTTATATATATTAATAGTCTATTTTCTTGTTTTGTTATATTAGTTGTTTATGAAGGAGCCAAAAAATTATTAAGTAATCGTAATCATCGAGGTGACTCCAACAAAATTACATGTTTAGAACTACTAGCGGCGGGAGGTGCGGCTGGTATTGCATGTTGGATACCTTGTTATCCACAGGATGTGATCAAAACTCATATACAAAGAGAATCAAGGTTAATATAAATAAATAGATAAAATTTTTTATTACAACTTTACAAAATCAACAAACAATTAACGCATTTTATTTATTTATAGTTACACGTCAACTTTACATTGCATTCGAACTTTAATTCGAGATGCCACAAATTCAAATAAACCAATATTTAAAGTATTCATCAAAGGTTTCGCACCTACTGTGACCAGAGCATTACCTGCTAATGCTGCGATATTCTTTACCTATGAAGAATCAAAAAAATTTTTCCATGAAAAAGAAAGTTCATACCATTTATTATATTAATATTTGTACATAGGGTGTGCAAGAAAAAGGATTTTTTAGCAGCCAATTGTCACTACATTCTATATAGAGATCATTCTTGAACTTATCACAAAGATTATGATGCTGATTTGATTTAAATCGGATTTTTGAAAGTCAATTATTTTAAGCTCGAAATTTGTTAAAAATGTGCTAATAGTCATGTGATTATTATTCAACAATGTAACATCAAAATTTTTGTTGAGTTTATTAAGCAAGACATAAAGTAATGAATGCAAAAAAAACTCCAAAAATTGGAATGGCATTTGGCAAATTCGTGAGAAATGAATTTGCTGATTTTTATAATTGAATTTTTAAATGGAACAAAATTAACTCCATTGTCTAATATTAAAAGTAATTAAAAATAAGTTCATATAAAATTTATATTAATAGAAACTTCTGATTTCAGCTTTCTTTTTGATATATTTTTATCTATTTTCATTCAACCATTATTATTATCGAAAAACAAACAAATAAAGATTTCCGGTTTTTTTTTGTTACTATTACACAATGTACATCCACACATTAATTTCTTATCATTAATAAAAAAGTTTTGATTATTAATGTATTTTTATAACAATGTTCTAAATCAGGATCTGTTATAGTGGCATTCAAAGCTGCATCTTGTTTTCTAATATAAATTCTTTTAAAATTGTCGTTATTTAGTGGCGATGAACAGTGTTGGCAATTGGACTTATTGGACTCTGGTCCAATTCTAAAGAATGGATTAATTATTATCAAAAAATTGTATTTTTCAAACATAATAAAGATATTTTATAATTCTTGATAAAAAGAAGGATTGTTTAAATCTTCTTCTTCTATTCCCTTTTTCCCTTTCTGTCTACTAATAGCTAGGTGTCTGGTCCTTTTGATTCTTCTATCGTAGTTTCTGTATCAGTATCAGTGACCTAATCTAACTATTTTCTCATTTAAGAAGTTATTTCAAAAAAATTTACAATTCAATGACAAGTTTTTTAGTTAAGTTATTTTCAATTCATTAATATTTATATTAAGTTGAGCGCTCTTACAAGCAATGCAGGTACCCAAGTGATTATAAACATTTAGTTTATCAGGTATAATATGAAAGTGTTTTTATATCAATTACTTCCTCAAGTAGGCATTAATAAAATCTGATTATTCGCGAGAAATGTTTTTGTATGACAAATTCCAAATAAAGTCTAGTCTGATCCAAGAAGTCCGGTCCGGTCCAAGAAGTCCAGTCCGGATTAATTTTGTTGATTTTTTACGTTGATAATTATTTAAAAGTTCAATATTATTATGATGCACTTGTTTCCTAACCTTTACATATTTTGAGAATTTGAGTTAAATTATCAACTTTCATTAATTAGTTTTGATTGGTAGTAAAAATAGAAGGCGAAGTGGTAGTAGTAGGAGGAGGAGAGATGGTGGTGGTGGGAATAGTAGCGAATTATTAATATCAGGTAAAGGTTTTGATGGTAAAGAATAAAAAATCATATACTATTACGACTAGGATGGTTTGAATTAAAAATTTAAGTCATATAACAATTACAAACTTCTAATTTAATATTTTCGACAGCTTTCTCCATTTTCTTAAAAAACACATCGTTGATTATCAGATATGATCCTGATGATGTAAACTTGATAAATCGATCATTTATTTATATTATCGAGTACTTCAAACAATTGATTGCCGCGCTCGACTTATAAAGTTTACATGTGTATCATCATCATCATCATCATCATTGTTATAGCGTCATTACGAATCGACAGAAATCACTAAATAATCATTAAAATTTTTTTTATTCATTAAACATACATGAAATTTTTTACAGTACATTTCTGATTCATTGGCTTACAGTAGTTTTCATTACTAAATAAAGAATTACGTGAAAGTCTTGTGTGTAAAAAAAAGCGTTGAAATTTTTGTATAATTTTTAAAGATGGAAAATGAAAATTTAAACCCCCAAAGAATTGAGTGAAAAAACTCGTGGACAGATTATTGGTATGTCTAAAGCTGGTAGTAGCGAGAGACAAATCAGTAATGTCTTGGAGTAGCAAAGTCTACAGTCCATAATACTTTGGTGCGTTTGAGAACCACTAACACAACAAGTTCTGCCTGCACCTTGACCTGGACGTCTCAATTTAATTACTGAAGAAAAGGAATTAATGATTTAATTAAATAAATAAGATGGACAATGATTGATATCTATTGTAATTATAAATAATAATAACAACATTATTGCTGTATAATAATAATAACAATAATAAAATTCAACTATCCAATTCTACAACTGTTGCACCATCGTTGATTACATCTAAAACTCTAACAACAGTTTGAATTTTTTTTTCAGAAAATATATTAGTTATTGCAGTTGATATATCATCAAAATTGTGTGTCGCCAATGCAAGAATCGTTGGACCAGCACCACTCAAACATATTCCTAATAACCCCGGATGTGTTTTTGGTTTTATGCTTGTAAGAATTTCAGATAGACCAGGGACCTAAATAAAAAGACAAGAGAATAAATGATATTATATAAAATAAAATTATAAAAAAAAATTTTTCCAAGGAAGGAAAGTAATACTAACCAAATCTTTACGATATGGTTGATGAATTTTATCTTGCATTGCTTGAAATATTAAATCAGGGTTTGGTGGTGATTGTGAAAGTGCTGTGGTTAACACTGCTAATCGTTGTAAATTAAAGATCTTTCATTCGCACACACATATATATATTAATTAAATGAAATTAAAATCACCGATAATTGATTTCATGATTATTTATAATTACCAAATCCTCTTTTTTGTATTCAGAAGGTAGTACGCTTCTAGAAATGGCAGTGGGTACTTCGAATTGTGGAATGACCACAATTGCTTTGATTTCAATTGCCCAATTTAACCTTATATATTTACTTCTACCATATGGTACATTGGGCATAGAATTTCCTTCTTGTATGCCGCCACCATTATTAATATAACTACTACCTTTATTTGATGATGACAATACTTCAGAGTTATGTATTATATTTTCATCCTGATTTTGATTATCTAAATCATTTAGATATGAGGCAATAAAACCACCCATTAAAGCTGCAGTGACATTATCAGGATGATGTTCGATCATCAAACAATAGTCAAGCATACGATCTTTTGTTAAACCTAATTTACCAATCACATCACCAAGCATCACACCTGCCACAACAGCTGCTCCTGAGGAACCTAGTCCACGTCCAAGTGGGATGTTGTTGTCAATATGAATATTCAGTGAATATGGTAAATTCGAAATGCTGTTACAAGCCAATACATATAGTGCTGTTTTTGTAATTAGATTTTTATCAGCAGTTAATGGTATAGAATCTTCACCCTCTCCACTATAAGTAATGTTTATGAAGTTTGCATTGGCAGTATTGTTTTTGGTATCAAGGATCTCGACCATAACATGAAGATATAAAGAAAAAGTTACACCCAATACGTCAAAACCTGGACCAATGTTCGCGGAAGTACAGGGAACAGTAATTTTTAATTTTTTTGGTTGAATCATTAAATTTCTTATGGTGTATGTTTATGGCGGTGGTAGTTAAAAATTATTGAACTAATATATATATAATAATAAAATTTTAATCTGATCGAAAAAAACATCATTTTATCTGATTTAGATGGCACGTGTATCATTCAAAAATCTATTTTTTATATCTGGCCGCAGTAATTATTGATCAAAGAAACTAACTGTTTAATCCAAAAGCATACATTTTAGTGATTCTTCTCATTTTAGAACATATCAAGATGAGAGAATTACCGTCGAAAGAATCTGCACTTTTCAAGCAAATACTAGCAAGTCTTTTTTTTATGATAATTTTTCTTTTTGATTCATACGAATTAAAGAAATATTTTTTCTCAATTCACTAAATTTTTAGAAGTATTACGAGTTTAAGCAATATAAAAAAGGATTGAAGGCAACCGAACAAGTACTAAAAAAATTTCCAGAACATGGGGGTATTTATTATTTTTCACATTACTATGGTTGATATTCAATGTAAAGCAGGTGTGTGTATATATATATGCACACATATACATATGAAATTTATATGAAATATACCTCATACGTAAAAGAAGAAAAGAAACAATTAATAAAAAAGCATAATGATCGATGATTCTTGAATTAAATTATCACAGAAACATTGGCTATGAAAGGATTATTTCTTAACCATATGGATAGAAAAGAAGAAGCTCACGACTTTGTGCGCAAAGGAATTAGATATGATCTGAATAGCCATATTTGTAATTATTAGTTTAAAATTTTTATAAGAGATATATATATATCAAAGAGATACTTAATCCAGTTAATTGGATAGGCTGGCATGTATATGGCTTATTGCATCGATCTGATAAAAATTATGGTGAAGCCTTAAAATGTTATACCAGAGCTTTGAAATTTGATAAGGTTCATTTTAATTTTACAGTTGATTTTGTAATAAATAGGATGGAAAAATAAAATCTATTTATTATTATTTTAAATAGGATAATATGCAGATTCTTCAAGATTACTCTCTTCTTCAAATTCAAATGCGAAATTATGAAGCTTTTAATGTAATTAAATTTTAACAGTGTTATTTTTTATTATAATCTCCTAGATTTTTAAAAAATATTGTAATTAAGAAAATTTTGCATATTCAATCAATTCCTTAATCAAGGAATCAAGAATTCATTTATTATCTTTAAGGCAAAGTAATCAAAGGAATTGGATTGGACTGGCAATATCTTATCATTTACTTGAGAATTATGAAACAGCAGAAAAGGTTTTGAAAAGTTATGAAGATACATTAAAGGTATTTTTTCATATAAAAAAATCATCAAATCTACTGTAACACATTAATTAATAATTTTTTTATTAAAAAAATAGGAACATAGTTTAACGAGGTTTGAACATAGTGAAACACTATTGTACCATAATTTTATTATAGAGGAGAGTGGTAATTTTGAAGCAGCATTAGTTCATCTAGATTTTATAAAAAATAAAGTTTGTGATCGTCGACTTTGGAAAGAGAAAAGAGGTCTATATTAATTAAATTATTATTTTTATATATATATAAGACTTTAATTAACTGGTTTTTATGCATGCAATATATATTTATATGGATCTTAATGTTAATAGCACAATTTCTTTTAAAGTTGGATAAATTGCAAGAAGCAGTAGAAGCATATGAAGATTTGATTAATGATAATCCTGATTGTTATGCATATTTTGAAGGAATACTGGATTCCAAAGGGCTAAATAATAGTATGCATGTGTATTAAATTTCATTATTATTTTTTGCTTTTTATTAATATTTTGATAATGAGTTATCAATCACCATAGAGGACCCAACACTTGAACAAAGAAATGAAATCTTGGATTTGTTTAAAGAATTGGCCATTAAATATCCAAAATCTAATGCAATTAAATATTTTCCTTTAAATTATGCCATTGGTTAGTTGAAAAAAATTCTATATTTATTGTTAATTGCTTTTTTTTTTTTTTTTTTTTTGATAATTTTAAAACTTTTTGATTAATTTTGAATTGTTAGATGTCACTTTTAGAACAATGATAGATGAATATATGCAAATAGCTATCCGGAAAGGTGTTCCTTCATTATTTGTAAATCTTAAAAAACTCTACACTGATCCACAAAAAGAAAAAATTATTGAGGAATTAATAGAAGAATATTATCAAAATTTAATGAATCATGGTGTTTTTACTCAGAGTGGAACTACTGCTAGTGATATTCGGGAACCTCCAACAGCATATCTTTGGACACTTTATTTGCTTGCACAGCATTACAACTACAAACGTGATGTTGTAAAAGCTCTTAAATTTATCAACGAAGCAATTGATCATACACCTACTTTAGTTGAACTATATATGACAAAAGGTCGTATCCTCAAGGTTTGGAAAGATTTTTAATTATTTATCTGTGTGAGTGACAAAAAATTTTTTAATGCAACTCTGAAATAACATATATAATAAATTTTAAAAAAATAGCATGGAGGTGACATTTCAGAAGCAATGAAGGTTATGAATGAAGCTCGTGAACTTGATCTTCAAGACAGGTTCATTAATTCAAAATGTGCAAAATATATGCTCAGAGTTGATCAAACTGATGAAGCAGAAAAAACAATTGGTTTGTTTACTAGAGTAATTATCATCATCATGGTTCTTTTTTTTTTTTAAATAAAAAAATTTCTATTATTATTATTATATTAACTATAAATGAATTTATTTTAAAGGGCGATGCACTAGATCCACTAACAGATCTTATTGATATGCAATGTATGTGGTTTGCACTTGAAGAAGGTGAATCCTATATGAGAAGGAATAAATTAGGTAAAGCTTTGAAACGGTTTCATCAAATTGAAAAGGTATATTCTTAATATACTTATCTAAAGTCAATATAAAACAAATGGTTCTAATTTGAACAATATAATTTTGTTAATAACATTTGTAAAGTTATTTATTAATGCATTTGGTAACTTAGCACTTTGCTGATATAACTGATGATCAATTTGATTTTCATACATATTGTTTGCGTAAAGTCACTCTTCGTGCATATTTCAGGTTTGTGTGTAGATGTATGTTTTTTCTTAAACAAACAAGATAATTTATCTTCCTAACATTTAATTTTAATATATGTTTAATAAAATAAAAGTATTTTACGTTTGGAGGATCAATTACGTTCTCATCCTTATTACTTTTGTTCTGCACAAAATGCTATAAAGGTAGATAAATAATAATTTTTTTATTTTTCAATTTTAGATTTCATTATCTCTCTCTTTTTTTCATTTAGTTGATTTTTATTTATCATTTATTAAATATTTAGATATATCTTAAATTATATGATAGCCCAAACATTGCCTCTTCCAGTGACAATAATATTGACTATAGTATGTTTTATTGTTAAAACTACATTCACATTATTATTATTATTATAATTTTCTTTTTTTGGATTAGCTTTAAACAATGATTTGACCTTTGTTTAAATAAAAAATAAAAAAATTAGCCAATATGACTGAAGGTGAAATCAAAAAAGCAAAGAATAAGGCCAAAAAAGCTGCAATAAAAGCACAACAGGAAGCTGAAACAAAAAAAGGTTAATTCTTTTTTACCTCTTAAAAAAAAAACAAAAACTAGAAAATTAAAATTTATCATCATCATCATTATTAATAATTATGATTTCAGCCCTGGCGAAAGAAGAACAAAGCAAAAAAAAGATTGAAAAACCACAAGATGATGATCCAGAGGGTGTGAAGTTTCTTAAGGTTTTGTCTGTTTATTGATTGAACTGTTGATCAATTTAGTATTGTTATTCTTACTTAATTTTCTTAAAGACTGAAAATCCCTTAGGAGAAGCCTTCAAATTCCTTATACCATTACAAGAATTATCACAAAAAAGGATAGAAACACATTTATTGGCATTTGAAATTTATATAAGAAAAGGTTTTATTAATTGGACTAATTCATGAAGAATAAAAAATTTGAATATTTATTTATTTTAAAATACTCTTTTTTTAATTCTTATAGATAAATACTTGTTAGCTTTAAGATCTCTTATACGAGCACATAATATTGATAAGGAAAATTCTTATTTGCATAAGAATATAGTACTGTTTAATTCAAAATGCAAGTATTATTATTATTATTTTCCATCCAAATTGAAACATCTAACATAGATTTTATGTGTAAACAGTATCAAACAATACAAAAATCAATGAAACAACAACGAAAGTTATTGAGGCAGAAAAATCAAGAATATTGCCAGATAATAGTGTTTCATTAATTCAATTTAATAATGAATTTTTGAAAAAAAATAAAGGATCAATAGGACATTTATTAGCAGGAGTAGAGTCATTATTAATTATAAATCCTGAGAAAAAACAAGAGGCTGAAGATCTTTTATTTAAAGTTTATGAAGATGAATATTTAAATGATAGAACATTGAAAGTATGTTGTTATATATATTATTTTTTTATTGTTGTTGTTGCTTTTGATTGAATGATTAAGTTTATTAAATAAATAAATGTTCTTTTTAATAATTAGAATTGTATTTTGGTTTATGAGGCATTTAAAAATACCTTTGAATCTCCAAAAGCAAAAGAGTTTAAGAAAAAATGCCAAGAATGGTTTCCAATCTCAACATATTTCAAAGATTCTTAAAAAAAAATAATTCAAGGTTGTATATTATATTATATGATTTTGGGGGAAGACATTTATTTAGTCATTATTCAATACCTTATTTTATGATATTGCAACATTAATTAATTTAACACAAAAAAAAAAAATAAAATAAAGAATTATAAATGTTATTTAAAAGCAATGATGATGATATAAATAATAATTATAATTATTATTTTATTATATAATCAACATGATATTAATATATTTAAATAGATTTCTGCATTAAATCTGGATATTTTACACCGATAGCAATTACTACTTCCTCTACATGATGACATACATTTTGTATTGCCATGTCCCATTTTGAAGCATGTGCACTGCCTACAGATTTACCAAGACTAGTTGAAGAATTACTTTCAAAAAATATCAAATGTTCTATTTGATCAATTGTGCCTTGCATTCTGCCTTGTTCAATCATAGAACTGGCAATTTGTTCAGCTTGATCAGGTGAAATAGCCAGTAACGAACCAAGTTCTTCAAATGTAATATTATTGTAAATCATTGATGCAGATAAAAGATTGTGTTCAATTACAGCACGATCTAAAACAGTAGTACCATCAGCAAGTCTAGCACGTTGGTGTTCTTTAAGCATCTCTGCAAATCCTTTAACTTCATTTGGTCTTAAAACACGATCAAGATACATTTTTTCAAGAATTGGAAAATGTGGTAAACGTTGTACTCTTTCATCTTTGTACAAAGTGGCTAACATACGTGAACGTTGAGGGCCTGCACCTGCAAGGACTGCGCAGGTGATAGCAGCGTTTCTATAACAATATGAAAGAATATAAAAATATATGTCACAGTTATGAAATAATAATAATAATAATAATAATAATAATTATATTATTTTAATAACTACTCACAAACAATTTGTACGGTCATCAGGTGCTAACTCTGAAACATAACTTAATTCATGATATTTGGAACTAGCTTCAAGAAACTTCCTTTTGAAATCAAGGATTTTAGCTTGTGATAATTTAAATGTTAAATTTTTTACTTGATCCTTACATCCAGGAATCAATAAAGCAGCTCGACTAAGATATGTTTCTGCTGGCACAGCTTCATCTTCTTCCAAAAGTAGTTGGATAATTTTAATATAGATTTTTAATTTGTATTCATCTGAAACGGCTCTTTGGAGATTTTTTTAAAAATAAATAAATCAATAAACAAATCAATATTTAAATATATGTGCATATTGTTTAAAAAAATTAAATAGACACCTATGGCCCGAGTCTAATGGAATGCCTTGTAATACTTTTGCTGATTCAATCCAGTCTTCTTCTGTTTCATATATTCCAGCTAGTTTTTCACGAAGAATTGAAATCTGATTTAATTTCAAACCAAATATTATTAATATTATCATTATTAAATAATTACACTGTGGATGGTTATATCAAAAAACTCACTTGTTCTTCAAAACTAACAAGTCTTGGTTGAACTTTGTTTAAAACAAAGTGCAAAATCTGTTTTTTAAGCTCACGATCAGCGATTTTGTCTACACCTAGTGTGAAGTCACTTAGTACTTGACGAGAAATAACATGTCCGACTTGTTCATGTACTATGTGATCAACAAAAGTTTCTAGATTAGTTTTAAAATCTTTGTCATCATCAGCTGAAGAAAGAATAGAATCAAGTAAAGATCGATATTCTGCTGTTTTATCTTTTTGGGAAGGAATAGTAGAAATTGAAGTGAGTCTTTCGGATATTGTGGACATTACTATTTTTCTATTATTTTTTTTACGTGTTTATCTAAAAAAAAAAAGTTGAATGAATTTCTATTACAGTACCGTGTAACAAATATTACAATCTGCTATAATAATAGCTAATTAAATCTCGGTATAACAGATTTTTGAAAAAATTTCCCGAATCGAGACTCATTCCTTATGTATTAGGATTAGTATTAGTATGTCTTTTATACTAACAAGGAAAGTTTTCTAACATTCACCGAATGTTAATATTCGCTGCTCGATTATTTGAATCAACTGATCGTTGATAATTTCAATTAATCATTCATTGATTAAAATTTCAACAATCGATTAACCTGATAATCGATGAATATTCAGTGAATTTAGATACAAAAGAATTCGTGAATAAAAGGTTAGAAATTACGCAGCAAAGAGGAATTGGTGGCAGCTGTAACTCGACATTATGCAACAAACCGTTAAAGAGGTTGATATGATCGTGTCGTCATTTACGCTGTGCAAAATCTATGGTATTTTTTAGCTTGTTGTGATTTTTTATTATTAATTGTTATTATATTATTGTACATAGATATATAAATTAATAAACTAAATAAAGATTAAACATTTTAATTGACAATCCTTTATGAACGGCAGCAAAAATTCCAATTTGACGTACATGTTTTTTTTTAGGCCTTTCCTTTTTACTGAATTTAACATTCTGGAAATTGTATCATAATAGAACTGCGGATTTTACCCTATAATATTTTACTGCCGTTCACAAAAGGAACAAAAAAATATCTAAAAATTATCTATCTTTTAAGATCTCTACATCTATCATTTCAGCAATTGCTAGAGATGAAGTCAACCCAGGACTTTCAATACCAACCAAATTTATAAATCCATTTAAACCATGCTCACTTTCTTCTTTAATTACAAAATCTCTAAATGGTTCATTTGGTCCTTGAAGTTTTGGCCTGCAATTAGAAAAAAAGGGAAAAAATTAGGTTTGATTTTGATTTTCTTTTCCAAAGAAAAATTTCTGGTTACCTTATTCCTGCATAATCAGCAAACAAATTTCCCTTTTTAACATGAGGTAAATAAGCTTGAACAACTTTTAAAAAATTTTCTTTTCTTTCATCATCATCATCATCAATGCTATAATCCACTTCATCATCACCCACTTCTTTTTTCGGAATGTGCAAAAAATCAGGACCAAATTTTATTTTATTTGCCAAATCCAATGTTAAATGTATTCCAACAGATGACAAATTTTTTGGTGGAATAGGATAGATTAGATGGTTAACTTTTATATTGACAGTTGATACACTGCTATTATATCGATAAGCGTAATAATGACCTTTAGCATGATACAATTTATAATGATGTTCTTTTGGCATTAATAAATTTGCTATTTTATCTGAAAATAATCCAGCACTGTTTATTACTATTTTTGAGTGGACATAAGTTTTGTTACCGCCAGGATTTAATATTTCTACTATATATCCGTCACCATCATTAACTGCAGCAGTGATATTTACAACTTTAGATTTTTTGATTATATCGCAACTATTACTACTGTTATCATTATCATCATTTTGATGATTTTTTTCTAGAATTTTGCATTCCAACCATTCAATAAATTGATGTGAGTCAAATATACCAGTTGTGGTGGATACTAAAACTTCTTTAGCATTAACGAATGGTTCTTGAGATTGTATTTCTGATTGCGAGAGAAAATAAGTTGTTACACCCAAATCATCTGATTTTTTTTTCAGTTGATGTAAATAATTGATTTGCGAATCTTCATTCTGAGCAACTATCCATTTTCCTATTCTTTTATATGGTAATAAATTGGATGATGATAATAATTCATAGAGTAGTTGTTTTCCTCGTATACATAATTTTGTTTTTAGGCTATTATTTGGATAATATATCCCTGCGTGTATTACTTCACTATTTCTTGAACTTTTCAATCAAGTAAATTGAATTGAATTGAATTGAATTGGTCAATCATTTTATAATATAAATTCAAAATAACAAAGTAAAAAGAAAAATAGTTGTACCTAGTTTCTTCACCTAATTTACTATTTTTCTCAACCAATAAAATCCTTTTGTTTTTACGAGTTGAAGACAAACGATTTGTTATAGCTAATCCAACAACCCCACCACCTATTATTAAATAATCCACAGAGAAATCTGGCTGTATGTATGGTTTATGTTTGCCAGGTGCTTTTGAATTTGAATTAATAGTTGCATTAATCGAATTGGTAATTTGAGATACTGTGGAAGTTGTAAAGGGTTTTATCGAATTCTTGTTATAATTACAATATAAATTAAAATTTTTATAAACAACATGGAATTTCTCGAGCATTTTTTTTTTAAAAATCAATTTAAAAACGAGGGGAATTTTCTAAAGAAGTGACACGCACAGTGTTGAAAATTCAATCGGGGGTGTCACGTTGCACAAATTATGTGCACGTCTATTTTTTTAAAAGAATTATTTATTTATTATTTTATAAAATAAAAAAAAATTAAATTAAATGTTTCTCCTTGTTTTTTTACTTTCCCAATCTTCATATGCTTTTAAAAAATCAAAATCTTCAATTTCTGGACCATTTAATAAAATCATTAAATGATCATCTAGTGTATTTAGATGCATTTTATTTCTCAAATTGTTTTTAATTAATTTCATTTGAGAAAATATTCTTTCTACATGGGCATTAGAAAGAGGTATAAGAAGCGCTATTTTAACAAGTATTACTATAGTTGGATAATTAAAAGAAAAATCATCATCAGTATTTAAAATATGTTGCCACAATTGAATAAAATCCATTTCTTGATTATTATTTTTATAGTACTGAAGATAAGGTTTAACTGAATTCCATTCTTGGTTAAGTTTTTCTTTATCAATGATTTCACTGAATTCATTTTCATTTACAAGTTTGATTTCTCCATAAAAATTACCTAAAATTTCTATTTCTTGATTTCCATATAGGACTAACTCTGTGTCATCATCTGGAAGTTCTTTTGGATCAAAAATACTAAAAGCACTATATAATTCATATTCTGGAAATCTATTCTTAATGGCATTTATGATTGCAATTGAATATTCTCTGACAAATGATGGAATAAAATTATAGTTGTCTTCCAAATATTTTTTGAATATTGTGCCATAATTTGGTGGAACCTCTTCAGAACCTATAAATTCATTTTCAATTGTTTTAATTGCAACATCAAGTTGTAAATTAAAATGAGATACGGATAAATGTTCTAACTGGAATGTATTGATTAATTTCTTTAAAATATTCGTTAAATCAGCAAGGTACATTGTTGCTGAAATGAAATTATCATCTAATTGTTCATATAAAGCTTTTGCAAGTCCATCTCCTTCTTCAATATAATCATCCAGAGTAGACAATACAGATTTCATGATTTTATGTAAATTACCCACAGAATTTGAAAATGACAACCACCTTGTATCACATATATTTAATATTACAAGTGATGGCTCTTTGTTAATTTCCTAATTATGATAAAAATGATTAATAGAAAATAAATGGAAAAGCAAATTAAAAAACACGTAAATATAATTACCTGCATCAACTTTAATATTTTTTGTCTTTTATGAGATTTTGAAAAATAACTATATAAATTTTTTAAAGTTTTTTCATATTTCTCAAAATATATAACCTCTTCTGAAGCATCTTTTCCAGCTAGGTGAAGTCTATGTGATATACAATGGTTTGAAGTCATAAATGGATTGATTTTTTTAAATCTTGCTGAAACACCACTTATGTGCCCTAATAATAAAGTATTTCTCAGTTAAAATAAAAAATACTAAACTTTTACTTAATTAAATATTAATTTATACCAGTCATGTTAGAAGCACCATCACTTCCAAAATGAATGATTTTATCATAAGATATTTCTTTTGTATTACAAAATATTATAATTTGGTTAAATATATTTTCACCATCAGTTGAATCTAGGTTAACCATACCTAAATATCTCATATATGGTATATTATTTACAATATATTTTCCCACTATTGCTAAATATTTGTCATCATCAACACTATTGGTTTCATCAATCATTATGCTCCAATAAATCGAGGAGTTTAATTCTTCAAAGAGGGATTTTTTAATTGTATAGGCTATACTATCTAAAAAGTCAATACCAGACATATGATTATTATAACTCCCATATTTTGATTTAGATGGTGATGATTTTTCTAATGAAGCAGGTTTCAAGGTGGAAATTTTATCACTAATTATTAACTTTTTATTATTTTCAATTTGTAAAGATGTTAATTTGCATAAATTAGGATAAGTGTTTAAAGAAATATTATTTTTTGAACAGCAATAAGCAATTCTCATTAAAGAAATAATTTCTAATTTTTGAGTACTTAATTGTCTTGAAGTATCTGGTTTAAGTAACTCTTCAAATTTTTTGTGTTCATTGGTTTTCATATGTTCTTTAATTCTTTGTATCCTTAGTGAAGATATACCTTTTGCAAATGCTGTTGTTCCATTGTAGTTTCTACAAATTCTGCAATATAAAATCATATTTTCATTAACAGATTCAGTTTCCAACCATGGATAATTATCAAACCACTCAGGATCAATAGCTTTTCTAACATGTGGTTTTTTAAGCTCTTCATCATCAGACAAATCAATGACCATAGGAAAATTTGACATTTTAAAGTATTTGAAAGAATTAATTTGGTAAAAAATTTTAATAACAATTTATTCCTGAATGATATTAATTTTTAATTTAATTTGTGTAAATAATCAGCACAAAAAAATAAATAAATATATAATAAATATTTCGTGCACATGGAAATTTGGTGTAACGTGATACCCCCGATTGAATTTTCAACACTGGACACGCACATGATTTTTTTTTCAAATCATCAAAATTTGGCCTCATTTTGTTAAATTAATAATTTCAGCTCCTATTTCATCAGCTTGCTTCTAAAAGGAATTGGCCCACCTTTTGTTTTACACATGATAAAAAGAGACACCGAATGTGTT